GAGAGAGAGAGAGAGAGAGAGAGAGAGAGAGAGAGAGAGAGAGAGAGAGAGAATGTCTTTCCACAGGTTATGTTTTTGAGGGTGCCAATGAGAGTGTGAATGTCTTTCAAGTGGTGGTGTGATTGCCCCAACTTTTCTCACCTACTACTTTTCTTGAGGATCGCAACACGAGTGCCAAATTGCCAATGTCTTTCCACAGGTTATGTTTTCGACTCTATTTTTTCTGTCTCTGGTGGTTTGTGCAAGTGCAGGTTGTCCTGTCCCAAGCTTTCTGGGAAGCAGCATCCACCTTCATCAGTCAACCGGGCCTGCAGAGGTAAATGTCGGTCTTGGAGGTGCTGTTATAAGAGTTCTTAGTGTGGAAAATAGAGGGAAAGGGGCCACAAATGCACACAACACTTCAGAAGCTCAGAGTTTTAAAATGCACTTACTTTTGAAACTTGCTCTTCCCAATGCCACACATTTGACAGTTGTCAACCCATAACAACAAAGCACTGCCTGCAGGCAGTTTGCCGCTCGCCGAGTTCTGTTGCTCTCACAGTTTTTTGGTTGTTCGATGTTCATCTGGGTGGTCAAAAATCAATGTTTGGGCCTTTTCAACTTGCATTGTTTGTCCTACAATTATGGGTTTTCCCCGAAATTGTGCTGTGAGTTGCGTATTGTCATGAGATGCATTTCATCCGGTGATGAAATCTTGCTGGCGTATTTGCTGACATTTTCTGAATTCATATCGATATTTTCCATGGCAGCGGCGGACAAGTGAACCGGACAAGTCCGGACACCGGAAACCGGATTTCCCGGTTTCATCCGAACGTCCGGAGTTCCGGTATTTTCCGGTTAATCCGGACATGTCCGGATCGGCCTGTCCGGATCCCTGTCCGGATGTGTGTACATGTCCGGATTTAAAAAAAAAAAAAAAAAAAACCCTGCTATACAAAGTACTGCAAATGGGTTGAAAACAACGAAAAGGCCATGTGGCACAGGTAGGGCCAGGAAGGGGAGGTTATAGCGAGTACATGTCAACAACCAAGATGAGGGGGAGGAGGGCGAAGACATGGAGTAGCAGCAGGAGGAGGGCAAAGACGGGGACGGGGAGGAGCAGGAGGAGGATGAAGACGAGGAACATGACGACAAAGATCCGAAAAAAAAAGGAAAAAGGGTGCCACGTGGCATGAGCAGGGAAGGGAGCGGGGGAGGTTATAGCAAGTACATGATGATGACCAAGAGGAGGAGGAGGAGGAGCGGAAGGAGGACGCAGACATGGAGGAGGAGGCGGGCGGAGGAGCAGAAAGGAGGAAGACCATGACAACAAAACGACGAGAGAGAGAGAGAGAGAGAGA